ACATTATTTTATACAAATTGTACCATATACATATATATGCACATACATACATGGTTTTGCACCATGCTTATTTCACTTCACATGTGCCAATGCCTTCCCCTCTAGGGACACACCTTAGTTGAATGAATAGAGCTTATTGCTCATTGCAGTGAGTGAGAACACACACCATCAGGAACTACAGGGCATCTCAGTTGGAGTGTGTTGGAAAGAACCTATCAGATTGGGGTTTAGATTAGTTGGTTTAATGGGAAAGTTTTAAGGAAACTCATATTTGCTGTGGATTAGATGTGTTCAGGATGCTGGAGCACTTCTTTGATTGTGTGTTTTAAAATAAATCCTAACAGTACGCAGGGGGAATGAATTGAGGCTAATGTTAGTTGATAAAAGAAGCAGCAGCCACTCATATCAGCCAGGATAGAGGGATGTTTGATCATGTTTGCAGCTACAATAATATTCATGTTTTTATATGTGTTCAGACATCATTGCTAAATAGTCTTGTTTTCACTTGATCTGTCATGGTCTCATATCTTGTCTGATGTTGATGTTCTGGGAAATTTTTTGTGTTTAGCAGGAAAACAGTAAAGCTAGTATTCTCCCCATTGCGTAGATATTGTAATTTATTACTCATTCCCTGAGAGATAGACATTTAGATTGTTTACTATTCAAACAATGCTACAGTTAATAACATGTTACTTAACCTGCACACAAGTTTATCTGTAGAATTGCTAAAAGGAAAGTTTTTGGCTCAGAGGTTTTGCGCACTTTAAGTCTTGTTAGATATTGTCAGATTGACCTCAACAGAAGTTGTACCAGTTTATTTTTCCACTACGAGTTTGTCTGTTGATCCACACTATTGCTAAAAATACTATTGAACTTTTGTATTTTTCCCAACCTGATAGGTTTAAAAATGGTACCTCAATTCCCTTTCTGTGTAAACAAGCTGCAAAATTATTTTTAAATTGCAGTATAATAAGGAAATGGTAGAATGGTGACAACTTTATTAGCATGCAAATCTTTCTGGAAGATTAACTAAATCACAGATTATGTCCTATATTTTGTTAAAATATAGGACATATGGCTATAAGATGTTGGATGGGAAAAGAAAGATGATCATTAAGTTGAGGGTTTCTTTCATTTTATTTGTAGCATAGTATTTAACTTGGCATCTTTTCTCATTTGAGAGTAGGGTTTTTTTTCATGGTAATGATCTTCCCTGAGAATTGATGGAACCTAAGTCCTATCTGGTCTTAGGGACAGTCCAGAGGATCCAGATGGTCTCCTTGTCTTAAATTTCTATAAAATGTAACTTATTACTTATCTGCCCACCAGCGGCTGCTGTTGTCTCTACCATCACTTACGAGACATTCCAAGGACTCAAATTTACCTGTCCCAGATATAGGGCTGCACTGTAGATGTGCTGGACCTGAGGTATGGAAAATGTTTTGAAAGAATATTTATCCGACATTTATTGAACATCTACTATATGCCAAATAATGTTTAAGCACTGTGCTTCAGTGCTAAGCAAAATAAAGTCCTTGCCTTCAGGACACATACTTTCCAGACCATGAAATATATGAGAAAGAAGAGCATCCCTGTTAGCTGTCAGTTAGCTTAGTTACAGTGGTATTCCCTGATGGCTCAGGCAGTAAAGAATCTGCCTGCAATGCAGGAGACCCGGTTTTGATCCCTTGTCGGGAAGAGCCCCTGGAGAAGGGAATCGCAACCCACTCCACTTCTGCCTAGAGATTTCTATGGACAGAGGAGCTTGGCAGGCTATAGTCCACGGGGTCATAAAGAGTCAAACATGACTGAACGACTAACACTTTCACTGATTATAATGTTACAGAACATCAACAGCAGATGAGGACTCTGCATGAGCATGAAGGGCCTTCTTCAGTCATAATTCAGCCTTAATGAATACTGTGCACCACAAAATAGTAATACACCCCCATTTCCTGATATACTAGTAACTACGAGGGACCTCCCTAGTGGTCCAATGGTTAAGAGACCACACTCCTACTGTAAGGGGCATGGGTTTGATCCCTGGTCAGAAACTAAGATCCCCACAAGGGGAAACTAAGATTCCCCTTGGTGTAGAGAAAAAAAGAAAACTAGTTACTAGGATGCTGTATTGCTCCAGCTTTCTGAAAACACTCAGTCTGAAATAGCACCCTTCTTGTTTTTTGAACCCTTTGTAACATCGCCTAACATAAGCCCAAATCCTGTACAAGTCCCTCCTAAAACCCTCTTACTGAGATTCTCCACTCTTCTGCATGCTGTTCAGTTTCTCTTGCTACATGGAGTTTAATTTAGAAAAATAACTTTGACTAACGTGTTTCTGGTGGTCTTCAGCTGGTGGGAATTGACTTTAGCCAAAAGTAGTAGTGTTGTCTTTCTGTCACACACACACACACATGATGAAAGAAATGAAGCATTTGTTATTGATGGCATTTGTTGATGGCATTAGAAGGCCCGCAGAGGTGACCTGCACAGAGGCATGAAAAAAATGAGGAAGGACCCATGTGGATATCTAGGAAGGAGGGAATAGCAACTGCGCTGGCCTCTGGGGCAGGCTTGGCATGTTCTCCAAATAATTATAAGGCCAGTTTGGCTTAAGAGTGAGAAGTGAAAGGGTGATTAGAAATGAACTTAGAGAAGTAGCCAGGGCTCTAATCATGAAGGCTTCAAAGGCCCTGGTGCAAACTAGATTTTTGCTTCCAGTGTTATAGGAAGCCATTGAGAGATTTTGGTTTTGTTTAGGGGAGAGACTCATATCTGTCTCCCACTCAGCCATTGTAGTGAAAGTGACATTGCCCTTGGGCTAAGGCAGGGAAGTCCTCATCCACCCACCTTTTTCTTTATGGGGCGACTTGCCTGGCCTTGGGGACACTTTCACCAAGCTCTTCTGGGGTCCTTTATCAGGAGCATGGAAAAATGAAGGATGCAGAAGGAATTGAAAACTTCAGCAGAGCCATAGGAGAATGCACTCTGAGCTCAGAAATGCTACAGTGGGATGAAGCCACAGTGGATGTAATAGGAAACAGGATTTTTCTTTTCACTTGAATAAAAAACTTCACAGGCTGTCAAACTAGTTTGAAGTGCCTTGTTTTTAATTCAGAGGTCGGCCTTTGCAGATGGGCACCAGCAGAGGGCGCTACAAACTTCAGCTGCCTGTGTGCTTTTTCACAGGCACAGAATGAACTACAGAAGTTGCTGTCTGGAACAAAGTACAATAGATTGTTAAAACACATTAGATCCTACCTTCTGAGTTTGATTCCACTGATGGGGGGAATTTGCATTTCTGACGGGCTCCCAGGCAATGCAGATGCTCCTGAATTGGTTCTGGAGTCAGTCACCTGAAAAGCCTATTTTCAAAGTTGGCTCTTGATGAAAGTGAAAGAGGAGAGTGAAAAATTTGGCTTAAAGCTCAACATTCAGAAAACTAAGATCATGGCATCCGGTCCCATCACTTCATGGCAAATAGATGGGGAAACAGTGGCTGACTTTATTTTTGGGGGCTCCAAAATCACTGCAGATGGTGATTGCAGCCATGAAATTAAAAGACACTCCTTGGAAGGAAAGTTATGACCAACCTAGACAGCATATTAAAAAGCATAGACATTACTTTGTCAACAAAGGTCCGTCTAGTCAAGCCTATAGTTTTTCCAGTGGTTACATATGGATGTGAGAGTTGGACTATAAAGAAAGCTGAGCGCCAAAGAATTGATGCTTTTGAACTGTGGTGTTGGAGAAGACTCTTGAGAGTCCCTTGGACTGCAAGGAGATCCAACCAGTCCATCCTAAAGGAGATTAGTCCTGAGTATTCATTGGAAGGACTGATGTTGAAGCTGAAACTCCAATACTTTGGCCACCTGATGGGAAGAAATGACTCATTTGCAAAGACCCTGATGCTGGGAAAGATTGAAGGTGGGAGGAGAAGGGGACAACAGAGGATGAGATGGTTGGATGGCATCACCAGGGTTTGGGTGGACTCTGGGAGTTGGTGATGGACAGGGAGGCCTGGCGTGCTGCAGTTCATGGGCTCGCAAAGAGTCGGACACGACTGAACCACTGAACTGAACTGAACTGAACTGCCCTTCCCTAACAGCATTTCATGATTGGGTGGGGTGAGAATACAGGTGTTCACAAAGGTCCCTCGTTCCCTCCTCTTAGGTGGATATGAAAGTTCACTGAGGACTGTAAGCATTATCTTTGTGCTTGGTTGCTTAGGTGTCTGACTCTTGGCAACTCCATGGTATGTAGCCTGCCAGGCTCCTCTGTCCATGGGATTCTTTAGGCAAGAATACTGGAGTGGGTTGCCATTTCCTCCTCCAGGGGATCTTCCCGACCCAGGGATCAAACCCTCATCTTCTGTGTCTCCTGCATTGCAGGCAGATTCTTTACCTGCTGAGCCACTGGGGAAGCCCCAAGCATCATATTTAGCTTTTTATTCCCCTATTTCATCTTTTTAATTTTGGTTTCTGATTGTATATTACTAATATATATAAACACCTTTAATTTGGGGATGTTGATCTTTTATCTTGTGACTTTGCCAAACTCACGTATTAGTTCTAGAAGTTCTTTTGTAGATTGCTTAGGATTTTTTACATAAGTAGTCTTGCCATCCATGAAAAGGGATAGTTTTATCCTTCCCCCTTTCCACCTTGAACTATTGTTTCTCTGGTGGCCAGAAATAGATCTGCTAACCCAATTATGTCATGATATTCAGGAGCAGATACTGTACCAGTTCCCAGAGGAATTGACAATATTCTGAATCCTAAGTGACCATGGAGGACTTAGGGGGGAAAACATCTGCAATGATGATAAGACTTGGAGATGAGAGAGACCTAGTCTTGATAAAACAGTTTGTTCTCATTGGCCAGAGCTAGAGAGTCTAGCCTTTCCACAACCCTGCCACTCTAAGCCAGGAGTTTCTGACTTGCAGCATCCCAGGGGATGGGATGGGTTAACTTGGGTTAAGCCTGGGAGTGGACCAGGGCTTAGTAGAGAGGGGATAGCCCATTTGATAGGTCCTGGAAGTTGGCAACTGCATTCTCAGGGAGGCCTTCAAAGGGTAAGCAACAGACTGGGCTTCTACTGCAGGCACTGGGGAGAGGAAGTGCCTTTTCCGGGGCAGTAGTTGAGTGGGGGTGAATGACATCTGAGAGCAAAGTAATGTGTTTGTGTCCTCGCTCCCTGCACACTGCCTGGTGCCTTTGTACATTGGCACTGGAAGCATAAACTCCCTGGGCTCTCCCTTTGCCAAACCCTTTTTCCTGGGAACTAGTTTCTGGGGTCAGTTTACTAAGAGTTCCCATTTTCATAGCTTCATCCTTCCTCTGCTTCTATACTTAAGTGTAGCCATTGTCTTCTCAAGGAAAATACCAACATGTATAAAATGCATTACACTTCATCTCCCTAGCTATAGGGTAGCATGTGTTAGAGTAGATTCAGAATTAGTACTGCCTGTGGCCTCCCACTCTGGGCTCCACCTCTCATCCTTTATATTTCTTCCCCTTGGGAAAATCATTTATGATAGAAAAGGCTGATAAGCTCAGCTATCACACTGTAATAGGTCTTGACTTAGAGGGGAAGGAACTTCCTTCTGTTTTCTAGTTTTGATGTAGTGGGACGGTGGGTGAGTTCAGGCAAGTCACCAAACCACTGTCTCAGTTTCCTCCTCTGATATAATGGAAGGCAGAATAGTACAGGGTGGGCATGGGCTCTGAAGCCAAGTGCCTGGTCTCAAATCTTGTCTCCTCTAATTATTAGCCGTGTTAACCTCGGGAAGTTCCTAAGCCTCTTTGTCTCTCAGTTTTCAGTTGATGACAGTACTTACCCTCTAGGGTTATTATGAGCATTTATAAGTTAATATATGCAAAAGATATAAAACAGTACTTGGAACATCGTAAGTGTAAGATAGCTTCATCATCATGATTATAAGGATCCAGGGAGTTCATATTGTGAAAGTGCATTGAAACTGGAAAATGATACCCACCTTTGACAATTACCTTATCAAAGGTATTTAACTAGATGCTGTCTAGGTTGGTCATAACTTTTCTTTCACGGAGCAAGCATCTTTTAATTTCATGGCTTTCTCTAATTGCAGAAAGTGGAGGCTACTCTCTAGTTGCAGTGCACTGACTTCTCATTGCGGTGGCTCTTTTTGTGCAGAGCACAGGCTGTAGGTTCACAGGCTCAGTAGTTGCAGCTCATAGGTCTTAGAACACACAAGCTCAGTATTTGTGGCACACGGGCTTAGTTGCTCCGTGACATGTGAAATCTTCCCAGACTAGGGATCGAACCCATGTCCCTTGTATTGGCAGGCAGATTCCTATCCGCTGCGCCATCAGGGATGTCCTGAGGTTATACTATTACTCGGTGGATTACCATTCTTGAACCAAACCTCCCTAAAAGTGACTTCTATGGGAGAGTTAGGGCATGTGGGTAGGCAGTAAGCCCCACTGATACAGGGCTCTCTGCGGCCCCATCTAGCCGTTCTGTTAGATTACGCTCTCACTTGCACTCTGAAGGCTTCAGCTGAATCTGCAGAGGTTCGTCCACGCAGTTTTCCCAGTGTTCTGTCTCCGCACGGTCAGGAGCCCGGGGAAGGTCTTCTTTGCTTTTCAGCCCTTCTGCACTCACCCCACATCATACGGGTGTTTTTGCCATGTCACCCAGTCCTCTACGGTAGAGTGCATAAGCTTCTGTACTGTGACTTCACTGTTTCATCCATCGAGACAGTGTCTTGTTTCCCCAGCCCTTGTAAGTGCTCTGTCTGTGATGTGCTTTCACGAATAAAATGTGGTAGACTTGACGTGACAGTGGACGCTACCACTTTCACCCTCTTGGGATGCTGACTTGAAACTGCCATGCCACGAAGGAGCCTGGGATGAGAGATCTTGTGAGGAGAGAGAGGCCCCGCCGGCCAAGATGTCCCAGCTGAGCCCACTCCCCACCTCACCCTTGCAGCTGCATAAGCCCAAGGGAGACCAGAAGAACCGACCAGTCAGTGCGCAGGGTCATAGACATAAACTGCTTTAATACACTAAGTTTTCGTATGGCTTGTTCTGTGGCAGTTGATAAGCCATATAGCTTACATATTATTTCTAAAGCCCCTTCCCATTGGTCTTCTAGATCTTGAAAGCCCCGGCTCTACATCTTTAACAGCTCAGAGTGTGTTTTTCCAGGCTTCTTGCCCAGTGCCCAGTTCCATACTGTCCTGAAGTCTGTTTTCACCAGGCTGGTCTTGGCTCTGAGGCTGTTGTATTTTAAGTGCAGTCTCACCGGTGAGTCACTGGTGCACTGTTGCTTGGTTTTGCCTGGAATTAAAAGGATCAACACATATGCTGTCACCATTTTCTAATTAAGAAATCACAAGTTTAGATTTCTGCCTGTGACAGGGTGAAGCAATAGGGTCCAAATTTACCCTTCCACTTCATTGATGCCCCCCATCTTCCTAAATATGATATTCCAGTTGTGATATGGACCTAATACTGAGGACAGCCAGCCCATGCCCCTCCCTTGATCTGGACTCTCTATGTCTATCATTTCATGCTTGTATTTTCATGAAGGAGGTAGAGCCTGAGCAGGCAATGTCGGGTAGCTTGTGATATGACCTCAGCTGACCTCTCCAGCCTGGCCTTGCTAGGAAACCCCTCTTGCTGCTGCCTCCTCCCCTAACATCCCATCTGTGGTCATTTCCATCCTTGTCATATTATTTGCAGTTTGCTGCACATACCATGTTACATGTTCATGCCTGGGCATTCCTTCCTTATGCAGTGCCCTTCCCCTCCTTGTCTGCCATGCATGCGTGCACGCGCACACACACACACACACACACACACACCCCTTCCACTGTAAGAATCCTTTGAACTCTGAAGCCTTCCTGATGCTTTCAGGATGGTCCCTTCTTAACCCCACCATCCTCTGTTCATAGAGCAATTCTTGCACAGGCAGCACTTGACAATACTTGTTCATGTTGTCTGTCTTTCTAGACTGTGAGATTGTTGATTTCTAATTAGTCTTTGGCACAGTGTCTCACAGATACTAGTTGCTTAATAAACATTTGAGGAAGGAGGGGAGAGAGGAAGGAACGTGTGTTACAAAATCTGAAAGAATAGAGATCCCCCCCTGCCACCTACCCCAGCCGGAAGAATAGCCGATACGAAAGCCAAGTGTTCCTTCTGAGTGTTGAGTACAGTAGCTTCGTTTCATTGCTTTGTTAATTGGGACTGCACTAATTTGTGAAGAAATACCAACTTGGGTAGTTCATCTTATACAACTTATAAACACAGGATTTGTTCAACTGAAATCCTGTCATATAAGCAAGAGCAAGCATTTCAAGTATTTCCAGATACACAATTGATGGACTGAATTAGAAAATATTCTCATTTGTTCATTAAAACAGATTTCCCTTAAGACCTATACTGAGGAACAATTTATTAGCAGAGTCCCACTAGATTCCTAAAGGTAATAAAACTGAATTTCTTTTAATATGCTTTACGATTCAGTTGAACCAACTCTTGTCAGCTGGACCTAGTTAATGTGAATTAACTATACTTGAAATCCTTGGCACTGCAGAGAGCAGATTCATTCAAATGGTGTTCGGTAAGAAAGAAAAAAAAAATGTTTCGTTGTAGCTTGTCTCATAAAATTGCTGGAAGCTCAAAGAAGATGGGTGCTGTTTTGAAGGCAGTGAAGGAGGTGTCCTTGGTCCACTTTGGCTTCTAGATTTGAAATGCACGAGCTGGATGATTTTCTCCTTGTACGGGAGCTGTATATAGCAGCAGCCCTCACTCTTTGACAGGCGCCCCTCCTGGCCACTCCCCTTCCTGCCAATTGCTTACTTCTATTTACATATCATGTGTAGAACTTTCATGGGGCATTGGGGGGCCTTAGATGGGCCATAGAGGTCATCCTGTTTTTTTTTTCTTTTCATTTATTTTTATTAGTTGGAGGCTAATTACTTTACAATATTGTAGTGGTTTTTGCCATACATTGACATGAATCAGCCATGGATTTACATGTGTTCCCCATCCCGATCTCCCCTCCCTCTCCATCCCATCCCTCTGGGTCTTCCCAGTGCACCACCCCTGAGCACTTGTCTCATGCATCCACCCTGGGCTGGTGATCTGTTTCACCCTTGATAGTATACTTGTTTCAATGCTGTTCTCTCAGAACATCCCACCCTTGCCTTCTCCCACAGAGTCCCAAAGTCTGTTCTGTACATCTGTGTCTCTTTTTCTGTTTGCATATAGGGTTATCGTTACCATCTTTTTAAATTCCATATATATGCGTTAGTATACTGTATTGGTCTTTATCTTTCTGGCTTACTTCACTCTGTATAATGGGCTCCAGATTCATCCATCTCATTAGAACTGATTCAAATGAATTCTTTTTAATGGTTGAGTAATATTCCACTGTGTATATGTACCACAGCTTCCTTATCTATTCGTCTGCTGATGGGCATCTATGTTGCTTCCATGTCCTGGCTATTATAAACAGTGCTGCGGTGAACATTGGGGTGCACGTGTCTCTTTCAGATCTGGTTTCCTTGGTGTGTATGTCCAAGGTCATCCTGTTTGAAGGGAAGAAACCTTGCTACACATGAACACACTTGCCTACTGGGGGAGGAAAGAGGCCACTAGTGCTGGCCTGTACCCCTCAGGCTGCTACCTACAGCTTTTCTACTGTTGGCTCAAATACACTAGAGTCGGGTTTCAAGAATTAATGAGGTTTTGGGCTTCCCTGGTGGCTCAGATGTTAGAGAATCTGCCTGCAATGCGGGAGACCTGGGTTCGATCCCTGGCTTGGGAAGATCCCCTAGAGGAGAGCATGGCAACCTACTCCACTATTCTTGCCTGGAGAATCCCCACGGGCAGAGGAGCCTGGTGGGCTACAGTTCATGGGGTGGCAAAGAGTCGGACATGACTGAGAGACTAAGCAGAGCACAGCACAATGAGGTTTTAGGAAGAGCTGAGGCTAGTGTGAAGGCCCTCCCATCAAAGAGCAACAATGAGCTTGTGGGACAGATGATGCCCTTTCCTGAGCCTCCCCAGATGCAGAGCCACAGTTGGGCGCACAGGCAGATCTAAGAATTCCAGTAGCTTCCTCCCACACCAACCCCACAACAGGTTACTTTGAGGGGCTACCGCTGCTATGCTATGAGAAATTTCCCTACCAAATCAGGGTCCATGGGAAAGCCTTAAAACCAACATGACCTGACACCAGGTACTGAATGAGAAGGCAGTACTCTGAACGAGGCAGGAAAGCCCACCCTGGTTCTGTATGTTCTGTGTCCACGCATTGACATGTTTATTAT